CCATGAAAGGGTTTTGAATGCCGTGCACACTGACGCAATCGTGACGGTCGCCACTCGCCTGAACTCGACAGACTATTATTATAGACTTGCCCTCCTGTGTACCATCATGGTTAACCGAGATTAGCGATGCCGCATTCTGCAGCAGAAGTAACAAATGCTGCGATTTACCCTCACCACAGTGGGTAGGGCGACATCATGCATGCAATCGACAAGACGGCTAAATCAGGTTGTGGTAACCAAAGATCTAGATCATACCTTGACACGTCGCTTGACTGAGCTCTACTTTCGAATGCGGTCAGAGACGTGCCAGCGAAAGGCGACTGAACTTATCGTTATCAACAGGGCAGCCACCTCCGATGGCCACATCGACCAATCGGACATGTGAAAAACGTGGATAATGATTTCATGACGATAATAAGAAACCGGACAAATACATGTGAAAATCCGAAAGATACCTAGACAAAAAAAAAGGTCCAACATAAACCCCGGCCAGCCGAGTGATGCAAACGTACATCTCTCGTTGTCAAAGTATACGTGTATGTGAAAATTCTATTACAAACCAAGTTACAAGCAGTACAACCCATGACAGATCGAGCGTCCTATAACAGGCGGAGAGGTGACTGAGGTATCACTAGTGTCACAATGTGGGAAAGGAGGGATAGATGGAACGCAATAGATAGAAGACCAAGTATTATAAAATAGCAGGATGTGGGACATGCTGATGATGCAAAGACCAGCGAAAGAGAAATGTTAATGAGTAGCGACATAATGTCTGCGTGTAGAGGAGGGGCACCATCATGCAGTAGCCATCTTGGAAGCTACAGTGCGTTCGCTCTCTAGCTTTGCCTTGTTGCGTTCGAATGCTTGCTGTCGGCAATCCTCCAGGTTGTTGCAATTATGATGTTCAGGCAAGCGATGCTAAAAGGATTACAATGAGTGAAGCGCATACGACGTAATGGTCGATCTCTTACTGCGCCACAGAAGTCTGCCCTGCAATGTGGGCATTGGCCAACTATACGAAGAGCTGCAGAGTTGCAAGGAGTCCCAGACTGGAATTGGCAACGCTTCTTGGCAGGCATGTTGGTAGCAAGTGAACGAGAACCTGTAAATCATTCACTATGAGCTCAAGATCAAATTAACACAGAGGAAACATACTGTGAAGAGTGGAGGGCGGGAAACTCGAATACGCGACGATGGTAGTGGCAGGAGGGAAAGGGAAGGCAGAGGTGTGTGTCGATCTTATAAGGCGCACAGCTTCGACGACGCGTCAGCCATGTAACTGCTAAGCCTCCCAAAATAGCCGCCAGCACGTGGCACGGAGGAGCAAATTTTGTTGCGGCAGTCCGAACCGGCAAACTTAGTGATCCGGGTCTAAAGAACAAAAGTGCAAATGGAGCTTGCTGAGAACCACTGGTGGTAGCAAGGGAGTGAAGGAACCCAAGAGTCCTAGCATCCTATCGGCAGGCAAGCCACTCGAAAGACACGGGCTTCAAGTAACTTACTCCCTTACTCAACTGAAATTACGAATAAGGCCTAATTACTTGTACAGTATGCTGTGGCCCCAGACATGTCTCCTGGGGTCTGGTGACTCTGGTCTAAGGACATTAACAACCGCGCAGGACGGCACTGGCCTGAACGGTATGGTTCTTCGAGGTGCTGGTGCTGCGGTGCATGATGTGTGGCATAACATTGGAAATCACGGCGCTGGCGTCCATTGCTTGTACTGAATTGAGTGACGTGGCGGCACTGCGACGGGGCTATGTCAGCATTTAAAAACTGAATGGCGTGGATAATGATATGTCACTGTCGGAAGCACGTAAAAGCGCCCGGCGCCCGGGATGTAGACGTGTTGCGGACCCATATTCCAACCTGCTTGAACAAAGAGTTGAATGTTATGTAGATTCTACATTATTAATGAGGGAACGTGAATATACTAAAATGCGAGAAAGAGACAAGTGTACATGGAATGTACTTGAAAACCGAGGCTGGAACTTGGAGGGGCGCATCTTGAAGACATGAAAAAGCACGTTGTACTTGATGTCATGGTGCTCAGAAGAGGGTGGTATACCAGGCCTCCTGAGAGAGTCTTGGATGCTGGCTTGGTCTCCGAGTCCATCAAGGAGCCGTGGGGTGCTTTGAGGGTTGATCAACATGGCTGAAACTTGGAACCACAAGACAAGTAGCAGGGAAGAAGGCACGAATCCGTTGCAGTTGAGACACCGGAAATATGATACCAAAACCATGGAAGACATAGACATGTCATTTCGAATAGTAGTCCTAAAAAGTGTGGTAGGATACATCTAGTGGAGGATGTATCCGGATTTTTATTTTTGCCAAGTCCATTTGGATGAGCTCTTCACGAGCAACTTGTTACAAAAAGTGATTCGGATACCGGGAGTCGAACCCGGGGCCGCTGTGTGAAAGACAGCAATGTTAACCGTTACACCATATCCGATGTGTCATAGTCTTTCGACATCACACTCATGAGTTGGCAGCGTAACACTCACGCTGTGGGCGGGTCCATCAATTCAAGCTCTCAGCAGTTGCCAACTGTGTGAGGGACTTTCGTCTAATCGACTTCAATATAAAGGCTTGTCTAGCGAAGATTTCGCCGTGGCCTGCCTTTCTCTCTCTGTCGACACACGATGACCGATCAACCCACGAAACAAAAACTATGGGGCGGACGGTTTACAGGCAAAACGGATCCTCTGTACGCATATATGACTCACGATGAATCGTTGACATTCTGATGATCTCGAAGGATGCATGCCTTTAATCAGTCCCTCAAGTATGATCAGAGGATGCATGCTGCCGATATTCGCGGGTCTATTGCGTATGCAAAGGCTCTCCGACGCGTTGGTCTTCTTACCGAGGAAGAAGAGGTTAAGATGACCCAAGGTTTAGATGCTGTCGGTCGAGAGTGGGCAACTGGTCAAGTACATACCTCGTTCACGAGGCATTCAATCCGGCATTCAATTTGATCACCTTGTGTCACAGTTCCAACCTGCCGCTGATGATGAGGACATTCACACTGCAAACGAACGCAGATTAAGCGAGCTGATCGGCCCGCTAGGCGGTAAACTTCATACTGGACGGTCTCGCAATGATCAAGTGGCCACCGACATGCGCCTTTGGCTTCTCGGTGAAGTCGATGATATACAATCCAGTCTCAAAGGTCTCGTGCGCATCATGGTAGAGCGTGCAGACAAGGAGAGAGATATCCTCCTCCCTGGATATACCCATCTCCAAGTAGGTGCATGCTTTTCATGTAAGAGGGGCTGCTCATGGTGAGGCAGCGAGGACAACCGATTCGGTGGTCACACTTCTTATTGTCGCACGCTTTTTCGTTCCGCAACGATCTTGAGCGTCTTCAGCAACTCATTCCGCGTATTTCCGTTCTGCCGCTGGGAAGTGGTGCCCTAGCTGGCAATCCATTCTTGATCGATCGTGAATTTCTTGCCAAAGAACTGGGGTTCGCTTCACTCGCCGAAAACAGCATGTGGGGGGTTGGTGATCGTGACTTCATTGTCGAATTTTTGATGTGGTCAAGTCTTACCATGACTCACATGAGCCGTCTGGCTGAGGATTTGATCATATATTCCACTGCCGAGTTTGGCTTTGTCACTCTCAGCGATGCATACAGGTATGTTTATGTTAGGATGGCAGTCCGAGGCGTCATCTTACCTTGCCTTTAGCACTGGCTCGAGCATGATGCCCCAGAAGAAGAACCCGGACTCTCTTGAATTATTACGAGGAAAATCTGGGCGCATCTTTGGCGATGTACGTCATGTGGTATTGTAGCGCTGTTCATGTTCACGATCGCAACCCCTTTCCTACTAGATGGCAGGGTTCATGATGACGCTGAAGGGTTTACCGTCGACGTACAATAAGGATCTTCAGGAAGACAAAGAACCACTATTTGACACTGTCGACAATATCTCTGCATCACTCAAGATCGCAGAGGGTGTCATAGCGACTATGGAGGTCTGTGTGATTTCACTGTGTTTCTATGACACTCAACGACGTGGTGGTCAAATAGGTTCATGGTGAAAAGATGCAACAAGCGCTAACTATGGATGTCCTCGCTACCGATCTTGCTGATTATCTTGTCCGGAAAGGGGTTCGTATTCCTATGGGCTTACAATTATCATTTATTGATGACTGAGTAGGTACCCTTCCGTGAAACCCACCACGTTTCTGGCCGTGCCGTCGCTTTGGCTGAGGCTAGAAAATGCCAGTTGAATGGATTGTCTGTAAAGGACTACAAGGGTTTGCACGAAAAGTTCTCTGATGATGTGGTCGATGTCTTCGACTTCGAAGCCAGTGTTGAGAGACGGTCATCTATTGGTGGACCGAGTCGCAAGACGCTGGACAGACAGATTGCGGTCTTGCGAGCAGCGCTTGACCAAAAATAGTACTGAAAACTGTTCTGTCCAATCAATGTAACTTCAATGAATAATGTATACGAGTGCCTTGTAACCCGCGGGCACTGAGATTTTGAGAGATGTACAACCGTTGAACCTGTGTCTGGGAATGCGCCAAGCATCACTGGTACACCCGCAGTACTGCAATTGCGGCATTTTTGACATACAACTACACCCGCGGCCGGCACTTGCAGTGTGTGGCTGTACTCGCTGAGTCGCGCTTCATTCTACTATTTACAGCGAGCACTCATCCTACTCATCGGGAGACTGCAGTTTAACGTGTTCATCTACCCAATTATATATAATATAAGCGACTCGAAACTTACCTCATCTTTATTTTTTTCAAAACACGTCTACCTTTCTTTCAACACACCTTGACCCTTGACGACATAACATGGATAGGTTGGCGGCAATGAGAGTGCGTTACTCCCTTCTTTACTTCCAGAGTGTATAATAGATATATTCTGCATTACAGGCTCAGCAACAGGGCGGGTGAGTTCTCAGTTCATTCACATCCATACGGGTTCTTCTAATATTACCGCCCGGGATTACAGTAATTCTGGCTACCAAAGACAAAATCCATATGTCAGACAGGACGACCATGCGTACGAGATGGCCGACGTGCGAGATAGCTCGGCAAACCTGACTTCAGGAGGAGACAGCATGTCAGATTTTTATGCAGAGGTGGGTGCTTCTCGCCAGGGCCGCGGTCGCCCGATTAATGTGTTGTAATTACATAGATTTCATCCATTCAAGACACTATCAAGACTTTTAACGCCAACGTTTCTCGCATTGACGAGCTGCATTCTCGTTCACTGAACAACACTGATGACGCTGCTGCGCAACGCAATGCCTCGCAGCTACAAGAGCTCGTGGAGGATACCAGTGCTCTGAGTGCAACACTTAAGCGCCGTGTAAAGGACTTGGAGAGGCAGGGGGGCAGTGGGCGTGATGGTCAGATCCGCAAACAACAAGTGTGCCGTCTCTTACAGTGGCAGAGGAGTGACTAAATTGTCTCCTAGACGGCTCTTGTCAAGTCGAAGTTCGTTGACGCCATCCAATCCTATCAGACAGTTGAGCAACAGTATCGCCAAAAGTACAAACAGCGAATGGAGAGACAGTTCAAGATTGGTGAGATGAATGCGTTATTCCTTGTCCGTCACTCATGGTCAACGGTTCCTAGTCAAGCCGGATGCTACGCCTGAAGAAGTTCGAGCCGTCGTGAATGACGAGAATGGGGGGCAGATATTCAGCCAAGCTGTGAGTGTAGTTATTTATTCCCTCTAATCGAGTCTCATCTATGTACTAGTTGATGAACTCCAGCCGATACGGCGAATCAAGAGCGGCATACCGGGAAGTGCAGGAGCGACACCAGGATATCCAGCGTATCGAGCAAACCATCGCAGAACTTGCTCAGCTGTTCAACGATGTGCGTCTTGATATTCCTAGCCAAGTTGGCTGTTAATCTCTCGAAATCTTTAGATGAGTATGTTGGTAGAGCAACAAGACGAAACTATCAACACGATTGAGGCAACAGCACAAGTCGTTGAGAAAGACACCGAAGCCGGGTAAATGTTTTCCTTGTAATAGTTTTACAGTTTCTAAACATTTCTGCAGCTTCCAACACACAGGAAAAGCTGTCGTCTCAGCTCGCTCAGCCCGCAAAAAGCGATGGATCTGCTTCTTCCTATCACTTCTCATCATTGCAATCATTGCCATTATCGTCGTCGTCGTCATAAAGCAAAATAGTGGTAGCAAGTAAACCCTTTGTTTGTGGCTCATATGCGCTTGTCAGCTTATTCCACCACCTTATTTAATCATTCATCACCTAACTAAACTGATCGCTCACGTTCTTTACCGCATCTATTTCTCTACTATCAGTTTATTGGACACTGGTTTTCTATTGTTACAGTCTGCACAATGACATTGGTATCAAGACATTTCGAAAGACGGACTGTCCTAAGTGCACTCAGTACCAAGGCTCATACTACGAATACGATACGCAGAAGTTCACGTTTCGACGGGGGTCTTCTCAGGCCGTGAAGCTGTGATATAGTGCCTCCCAACAAATCAGGGACAATATTTTAAAGCAGGATCAGGCTTGTATGTGGTACAACAATTCTGCAACCCTTTACGTGTGCAATCCATACAACCTAAACACTAGAAGGATACGGCGCAGACCTGCATAACACATTGCCAATACATGCACTGATATGGGCTAACTACACTTGGTCTCTCCAACTGCGCCAGAGGTATCCAGTGACACCGCACGCAATGATGGCAATCGCAGTATACCATGAAAAGGTCGCACTCCAGCACTCGATGCCTTTGCAGACAGCGCCATCATTTGAATGGCTAGCCGCATTGAAGGCATAGAAGTATGAGAACGCAGGAGCACCGAGGAAAGGAGCGTAAGTTAAGATGCCAAAGTTGCGTCCGAGGTTGTCTATACCCCACGCAGACGACACTAAACTCGGCCTATAAAACAAGCCAGACAGCGTCAACCGGAACATATTGAACAAAGGAACTAACGAAACGTACAAGATTGTGAATGCTGAGCCGTAAGCGACCCCAGCGCCGATACTAACCTGATGAGAGTGCTGATCAAGTTCAAGGTGTTGTCACTGACCTAAGAGCCCACAAGTCCACTTGTGACCTTACGCCGAGTGTCATCCACAGATATGTCAATGCAAGCACCAGTACCGAGAAGAAGAGAAATGCCACACGGCTGACATGGCGCTTGCGGAGAATACTTTGAGCCCCAGATGCAGCAGCTGTGGGAGACACGAAGTCTGCCAAAGGTCCGACAACGAGACGAGATATTGTGTTGGCAAGAGAAAGAAAGCGAACTTGCGTTGCAGTTGCCACATCACTAGATGGAGCTCCGATCGTGCTTGGAGTTTGTAATGCAAGAGAAAGGACTATTGTGCCAATGTTAGATATCACCATTTCGCTCTAGTCGAGTTAGAAAAAAATCAGATTAATCCAGTGATCTGAAAGTGCAAACTCACAGAACCCAATATCACAAACAAGACGAATGCCAGAGCCCAGAAATGATGGTCTTTGGCAAGGTCAACTACCGAACTACCCTTGACAGGTGAAGCAACGACGACGGCAGTCTCGACTTGAGCAGTACGATTGCGCTTTCCGTGGAGAAGAGCTGTTTGTTCGTCAATGTGGACCGACCCTTCTGGATCCTCCAAGACAAGACTTGGAGGATCTTCGGGGAGAGGTATGATATGGAGAGTGAAGGCACCGAATAAATGAACGGCACCGCAAAAAAAGGCCAGGAACTGTAAGAAGCGGGTGACATCAAGACCTTCGTCGGGATGGGAGAAGAACCTCGAAGCCAGTATTGATATGAACATCGGTGATAAGCCGAACAAGGTGATGCTCGTTCCAGATGCTATGCCAATGAAGTCCGGAAAGTTCTTACAGGCAGCAAATACGGAAGAGAAGTATCTAGATAATGATAAATGTGAAGAACCCCGAGAAAGTGAGCAACTAACGAGAAGGCAGCTCCAAGTCCCGCAATAAAAAGATAGACAGTAAGATGATGAAATGTAGATGGCGAAGGTACAGTGATATCATCTGGTGTGTTGGCAATTTCCTTGGCGAATAATCCAAAGCCTGCGAAGAACAGGCAACTAGCGATGATGGAACAGGCCCAAGGACCGTATTTGTCAACAACCTTGCCTATAATAGCTGCAAAGGGATATTGGCCCATCATCCCGCTGGGAAGTCGATCAGATATCATTTTTGTGTGCTGAAAGATGCTTACGCTAAAGCTATGGTTGTCAGTTGAGGTTGAGTCAACTTCAAATGATCAACCAAAGCAGGGGACATGAGGGGAAAGGTAAAAACACTTCCACCACAGAGACTAGTACGATGACATAAATCAGCATCGAGGTTGGACGCGCGAAGGTAGTATGACCGACGCATTGGCAGCAATGGATACACAAGCGAAGGCGAGCCGAACTCGACGCAAATGAGTGCGTTGAGACTGGGACTGTACAGAAAGAGACATGTTATAGAATGTACTAAACGGTGTTCCGTTGCATGAAATGGACTGAATGAGCGTCACTGTCAGTGTGCTACTAGCTGCAACTAGCAACAAAGGGTCCCGCCTATTACGATATCTCGTCCGGTGCGATACCCCAGAATGGCTGCATAGCGCGGCCGAAGTCCGGTTCAGTCCGGTTCTTGGGCTGAATTTAAACACCAGGCCGACCCGGACCTGAAAAACACCCAACTTAGGCCTGGTCAATTCTAAAATGTCGTTGTCAAAGTCAACTTGTCTTAACGTATGTAGTTAGTAAGTTACATAAATATTAAACGTCGCTTGTGCTCTTCTGCCATAACATAGTATTGCAAGTAAAAAAAAACAAGTCGTGGCTGACATTGCGCGAGTACAACAAGTGATGAACTACTTCGGTGGATATCATAATATCTACAGTCCAGCTAACTCGCAAAATGGTGTCGCAGTCCAGCCTAATCAGCGAGAACACCACCCACCAGTGTATGGTGCCAGTGGTTTAAATTATGGTATGTCTGTGAAAGGTGGAAACAGACCATTGCCGCAGGAGTTCGGAGCAGCCGGACACCAGCCTCATCAGCAGTGGCAAGCAAACCCCACTCACTGAGGTGATTACTGGTTCAATGCACGGTAGACATTTTATTTTATTTCCACGAGCAAATCGTTCAGCGCTGATTCTTGACATAGTCAGAATGTATGTATGGGTCCACAGGGAGAACCAGCATGCCATTCAGCCAGAGCAACCTCAAAATCAGCAACAACATATCCAGGTCAGTAACTGTTAATGAAATATAAGAATATGCTCACGAGTCATGGTCAAGCTTCCACGAATTCATCTGGCAATAACGACACATGGCCACAGTGTGAATAACCCTCAGATGGACTACAGCCGAGAGGACAGACATGTCAATGATGATCGTGGGGGTGCCATTGAGGCTACACGCAACTCACCACCAACTGAAGAACTGCAGAAACATGTCCACGAAGATCCACCTGTTAAGCTGCAGAAGGAAAACAAATCTTTGAAGAAGCCTGCTTGTGCGAAAGCATCCAAGCGAAAGGGTACGGCAAAAACAAAGGCTGACAGTGATCAAGCTATAGCAAAGCTTAAAGATCAAGGGAACTGGTCAGATGGAGACACAAAGGTTTTGTTAGAGACCCTACTTAGAGGCGAGAGCGAGCTCTACGAAAAGCTCATGACAAATGCTAAATATGTTTATCAGAAGGTAGTCAACAAAGGTTGAATACAGTTACAATTTGAAAAGGCTGACAATAGTGTTGTTTAGGTTGCATCAACAGTATTTGCAGGACAATGCAGTGCAGAGTCCGCAAGAGGCCGTTATGAACGACTGCGGAAGGTTTTTTCGTATATCCTAAACTTTGAGTCTATGACTGGAAATGGTGGAGATGATCCAGATATTGAGGAGCTTGATGATAAGATCAAGAATGCATGGACTGTGGGAAAGGATGTCGGGACACTATCTGGTGTGATGTTGAAAAAGTGGTATATGGAGGGGTGGTATGACCTGTTTAATGAGCGGTGAGTTTCCTTGAAAATAATGTGGAATCAAAATCTCAGCATGCGCAGCCTCGGTGAACACCCAGGTCTTATCCAAGAGGAAGAATTTCATTCTGGAATGCTTTCTGATGTCATCGAAATCTAGAGTGATGAGAGCAGTGAAGGAGATGCTAGTGATGATGGATTTGGCTCAGATGATAGCGGAAAGAAGAGACTCAAGAAGAAACCTAGAGTCATGGCTCCCAAAGCTACGATTTCGAAGAAAAACAAACCCGTTTTGCAGAAAGGAGTTCCTATGCCACGTCATAAATGCCAGGTTTCCCAAAGCAACATCTCCAGCGAAGCTGTCAATTTCTTCGCATCTAATGCCGAGTATTTGAAGACTACAACAAGTGCTGATGGTGAACACCTGAAATTACTCAAACAATGAGAAACGCGAGAGGATAAACAACATGGTTTTATGATGGAGAAAGGGAAGGCCGAGGTAAAGCTAGCAGAAACTGAAACCAAAGTGAGGAATGCACGAGAGGTATTGTTGATTGATGGCATGCCAGATGAGGTGAAGGCAGCTGCTCGCCAAGTACTGATTGACTACTTTACTACTGGTCAGTAATTGTCATCAGGTATCATAGCAGAAAAAGATCATTCAGAATTGCGAGCCTCCACCATCAACCAGCTTCCTTCAACCACTCATCAGTCTCCCATGCCGGAAGCTCAACTTCGGCTCCCTCAGCAATTCCACCATAGCCTGTGACATTAACATCATTCACAACATCATCATCCTTGTCATGATCAGGATCACTGTCATTGAAGAATGAGATGCACTCTGGACAGTCACCGAAGTTGATGCAGAGATTGTATAGTGTCAGCAATGCCTCCACCACATGATAGGTGTCATGAATATCGTGCTCGGGTGGCAAGTCTTTCAAGCTTGGAAAATGGCCCTTTACCATTCCGAATGCATGCTCCACAGTGATGCATTGAGAAGAGAGACACTTATTGAATTTGCGGCGGAGTTGTTTCTCCGCAGGTGGCTGGCCATTTACCTCCGGCTCCATGAAAGGATGAAGGACATACAGCGACGAAGGGTAACCTTATCAGGTGTGAGTACAAAGTATGATATAAATGAGATTAACATACCTTTATCAGCAAGGAGGAGAGCTTCATCTCAAAAATAATCACGCCAGTGCTGCCAAATGTGAGACTT